AGTCCTGGCCTGCAGCCAAGTCAGACAGAACAAGGGACCTCCCGTGGGACTCTCCTCGGTGTCAGAACTGTGTTTGTGGGCTCGTGGGGTGTCAGGAGAAGGCAGCACCTGGAATATTCCAGAGTGGCAAAGCCTCTTTTGATCTCCAGTCGGGGGCAAAGCTCAGTCTCTTCCGCACTGGGTTGTAATCCATATTTCATGGAGCATGAAATGCTGCCCTTACAGTCTGGAACAACTTCTAAAGTGCTGCCTGAGGTTGTAGCTTAATGCATCTTTCAGCAGCTGCTGAAAATACCTGTTCTGCCCCCAAAAAACTCCTAATTAAAAGCCTTTTTGACTTGGAAAGTGCTCCTGAGCTCCTAGAGGAAGGCTCCAGCGGGAATTCTTGGGGCTGTTTCCCACAGGAGATTCTCCTCCTGGCACTGGTGGGGGGGGGCTGTGGCTCTGCCTGTCCCTGAAACTGCTGGTCCCCGTCCCCAGGGTGGCTGAGTAGGGGCTTCCCTGTCCCAAGGAGAGACCCTCTGCTGCCAGCCTGCCTAGAAAGGGAAAGTTTGGGAACAAAGCTGCTTCCTGGCACCCCTGGGGAAGGATGGGATGGCTGAGGGACTGACAGGCAGATAAACCACCCCACCCTGGGCGGGTTTGCTCTCTGGGGTGTGAGATGTGGACCCTCACAGCGCTGTGCCCTCCCTGTGCCCACCTGCCTGAGGGCAGAGCTCATCAGGGAGAGCCCTGGGGCTCTCACAGCACCCAAAACCTGCTCCCTGCTGCAGCTTTGCTCTGCCTGGGGGTCACTAAGCACTGCTGGGTACAGCCAGTGGCATCTCCCGAGGCTTCCCACGCTGGCAGCCCGGAGATACTTGATCATTTAGGGATAGTGGATCATGCCCTGAGCCCTGGCTCAGCACTGGATGTGTGTGAGCAACCCAACCAGCAAGGAAATGTTCTCTGTGCCCCCCAAAACACCGAGGCTGTTGGGCTGGGTGTCAGTCTTTAGTGGGGGGGATGAATAGAGGGAGCCAGCAGGAATTTGGGAGGGCAGGAGCAGGCTGGCTCGCTGCATAAAAGCTTTACCTGCATTCTGGCAGGGGTCAGGTAACTGGGGCAGGAGGAAAAAATTGTTAAACTTTAAGCTGTTAACCTACACAAAGGTCAGGGGGAAAAAAATACCTGGGTTCCGAGAAGCATTAAACACTTTCAGTATTGTTTCATAGGGAGACCTGGGCCTGGGTTATTGGACTTGCTCCTGGCCAGAGTCCATCCTGCTGCTTTGCTCCAGCCCCTGGGGCTGCTGCAGGTTCCTCCATGGTGCTGCCTGAGGTGGTTCAGTGCTGCAGAGCTCTGGGCTCTGGGGCCAAAAAAGGGGCTCCAGCCCTTCTGTGCCCACCTGAGCCCTCTCTGAGGGGGCTCCCCCTGTGAAGACACTGCTGTGGCAGCTGAGATCTCACTCATTCAGCACCGGGGGCCTTGCTCAGCGTGTCTAAGCCTGGCTTAGCCAGTCTGGGGCTCGAGGAGAGAGGCTTCCAGCCCCTCTAAATCAGAGGGACACGAGGCTGAGCATCCACCCCGCTCTGCCCGAGGAGGAGGAGGAGGAGGAGGAGGGTCCCTGTGCAGCAGAGCCATGAGCATCACTCCTGTGCCGGCAGCTGGGGCCCGCGGGGGTCCGTGGCCCCTCTCCCCGTTGCTGGGAGACTGGTGCAGGGGGTCCCTTTACAGGATTAAAGCTGTTCCGCATTCTTGTCTGGGAGGGAAAAAAAAAAGAGGTTCTGCTGGATTCAGTTGTAAATTCGACCCTAGGAGCACATTGTCTCTGCCCAGCCCCTTTGAAAGAGGATTAGAAGGCATCTATTCTCCGGCACTTACTCTTCTTTCTCCTCCTCCCCTTTCTGTTTCCTTGTCGGGGATAACTTGAAAACCCGAGGGAGAGCCTGGTGCTGGGTCTCCCGCCCTGTTCCCGGGAGGGGATCCCCTCTTTAATCCCAACTTTCTCCTACCTCTACACCACCAGCTCCTCGGAATCAGTGTTTGCCAGGAAAACAAAACCCGGGTGTTGTGGTTTTTTGTTTTGTTGGTTTTTTTTTTTTCATTGTCATGACCCTCAGAAGACGTTGTTGTTGTTTTTATCCCCCAAGTCATGCGTGCAGGTCACATTCCTTTGGCTGGCCACGCTCCAGCGGCGGGACACGATTCCTGTGAGCCCAGAAAGGAGGAGCAGGGCTGTGCTACCTGCGGGAGGAGGGTTGGGGAGCCCCTCTGCTGGGAGCTGGCAGCAGGTCTCCCTTGGGGGGGGTCACGAAAGGAAAGTGTAACCCCCAAATCCATCACGGAGCTGTTTCCATGGAGCTGGGCAGCTCCACTCTGAGGTACAGGCAGGAGAAGGAGCTGGTTTGCTGAGATCTCGTTTGTGAGCCCTTTCCCAAAGGAGTGGGGTGGGTTTCTTGCTCTACCAGAGGCTTTGGGACACCACAGCCGGGTGACCCTCTGTGTCCCTCCACAGGTGGCCATCAAGTCCATCCGGAAGGACAAAATCAAGGATGAGCAGGACCTTGTCCACATCCGGAGGGAGATTGAGATCATGTCCTCCCTCAACCACCCCCACATCATCGCTGTGCACGAAGGTGAGCCCTCCTCCCCCTTCCCTTTTCCAGAAGCATCCTGGAAGCCCCACAGGGCTCCCAGGGCAGCTCCCAGGGTGGGTTTTGGAATTTTAACCCAGCCCCTCACCCCCCTCACAGGACCTGGCTGCTGTTTTTGGTGACTCAGCTCTGGTGGGGAAGGCAGGTGTTGTCTGGATGTGCTTTCCCCACCTCGCTTCTCCCACAGAGCAGCAGCGAGGGGAAAACCCCTGCTGCAGAAATGGCCCTTCTGCCCCATCCCCTCCTGCCCAGAGGGGGAATTCAGCTCTGAAAATTTCATTTCTTTCTTTCAAAAAAGTTTCTTTTTGGAGCTGGAAGCCTCGTGAGGGGCTGTGCTGGGGTGGGAACCAGGGACCCCCACGGAGCCCAGTGCTGAGTGTGGTTGTGCTGGACACTCACCCCAGCTGTGAGAACCTTGGGAATCTCCATAGCTCTGCCCTCAGCCCAAGGCAGGAGTTAATCTTAGTTCTGGAGTCCTCCTCTTTCCCTCCCCTGGGGCACTGGAAACCCAAACCACTGGGAGAGCTCCTGGTGCTCCAGGGCTTGGCTTTATGGCCTGGGCTGAGCTTTGCTCCCGGGGTGTTGGGACAACACCAACCAAAGGGGAATTTCTCAAGCTCTAACTAGGACCAGGCTTAGCCCATATCCCCAGCTGGGTCGGTCTTTGCAGCCACTGAGTCCTTTGGTGAAAATCTGCCTTCCCTGGGCTCTCCCTGCCTTCCCAGCACATGTGAAGGATCCAGAGTCCTTTTGTCCTCCAAACAAAAGCAAGTGGGTTGGCAGTTCCTGCGCCGTGTTTGCAAGGGCTGAGTCACCCCGACTGTTGGAATTCAAAAATATTGAGGGAGCTTTCTGCAAACAGGAAGAAAACTGCTCCGACTCTTGGCTCGGGCTGGAGCCTGGTTGGGAGCAGTGAGAACACTCAGGAAGGCCGTGGGCTGTGCCAGCACCGCCACCTTCCCCCCCTGGCAGGGGCTTCTAGCAGAGAGCCTCGTGCCTTAGTCACCTCCTGGCAGAGCACAGCCCTGGCTCCTGGGCGCTGTGGCTGCAGAGCTGCTTGGCCAGCGGCCCTGGTGGCTTGGGTGCCAGCTCTGGTGGTCCTCCCCTGACCTGCAGGTACCTGCAGGAACCCCCCTCCACCAGTTTGGTGGAAGAGTGAGGGCAGGGGGTGGGGTGGGCAGAGCGCCGGAGTCCTCACCTGGCGTGTGCTAAGGAGAATTCCTGCGGCTCCAAACCTCTCTCCTGACCTCCCCCTGTGTCCCCCTGTGTGCCCTGCAGTGTTTGAGAACAGCAGCAAGATTGTCATCGTGATGGAATACGCCAGCAAGGGCGACCTGTACGACTACATCAGCGAGCGGCAGCGGCTCACGGAGCACGAGGCGCGGCACTTCTTCCGCCAGGTCGTGTCCGCCGTCTACTACTGCCACAAGGTGGGCTGGCACCGCCATTCCCGTGGCATTCCCAGGGGGAAATCACCAGGATCGGCTCCTGAGTGCTCTGCAGGGTCAGCTGCAGGCAGAGGGGCAGCAACCGGGGCTGAGGGGGGATGCAGAGCCCGACGGGGAAGCTCAGCCTGGGCTGGGAGGTGGGGGGAGCTCGCGGCTGTTTGGGTTTTCCAGGAGAGGGTCAATCCTGCCTCTTATCCGGGGGTGTGGCAGTGCCCCAGCAGCTTTTGGAGGGTGCTGGGCCTCGGCTCTGGCTGCTGTGGTGTGGGGGTGACTAACCTGGCCAGGGAGTTGTCACCTCCTGTCCCACCCACCCAGAAGGAGCCGCCCAGGGCTGTCCATGGCACTGGGAGCTGAGCCCTGGGTCACCCGTGTTGGTCCTGAAGGGAATGTGGAGCTACAAACCCCCTCCAGGACTGTGGGATGAGCTGTGCCTGGCCTGGAAGGACCCTCGAGCCTGAGGGTCTTCCTGGAGGCCGTGCCAGGCTATGCCCCAGTCCTTGGCAGGGGTGGGGGGTTGCAGGACACCTCCTGCACCCAAACCAAACTGGGGTCCTGCTTAGCTGGGCGGCAGCAGGTCCTGGCAGAGCCCAGAGCTGTACCCACTGTGCCTGGGTGGAGCTGGCACCGGGCACTGTCCTGCCTGGGGAGGGTGGAGGAGCCCAGGGTGGCACCTGGGGCAGGTATTTCTGAGCAGCACCAGGAGCTGGCAGCGCCCAGGCCGGGACGTGGTTTCCAACCTGTCTTTGGTGGCACGCCCAGAGCTGTTTGCTGCTCCTGTGCCCTGTTTGCGTGTGCCTGTGAACGGCAGTGACCTCCCCAGGGGCCTGGCTTTCCCTTCCTCAAACACTCCATACATAAACTAACCCTGACTCTCCTTCCCCTCCCCTCCCACAGAACGGGATCGTCCACAGGGACCTGAAGCTGGAGAACATCCTGCTTGATGCCAACGGCAACATCAAGGTGAGGGGTTGGCAGAGCCCGGGGTGTCACCCACCCAGCCTGGGGTGTCACCCACCCAGCCTGGGGTGTCACCCAGGGGGTGCTGCCCAGCTTGGAGGCGGCCACAACACCCCGGAACCCCAGGGAAGGCGCTTCCCGGAGCTCTGGGAGTGCTGGCGTCACCTGGAGCGCTGTTTTCCCGGGAAAAGGGGAGCCAGGAGGGCACCTGTGCCTGCCCCTGCTATCTGAGGCGGCCCAGCCTCAAAGCTGCTGTAAAGCCATAACTTATAATTGCCTGCTGATAAGAGGGGCAAAGTCTGAGCACCCAGGTCAGTGCCCAAGCAGCTGGATGAGAAAGGTCTCTCCAGGGGAAATTCCCAGTTCCCGTAAGGACCAGCCAGGCTGGTGGAGGGAGGTGTGAGGCAGTTTCTGGCTCTGCTGGCCCCGAGTGATGCTTTTTGCTGCAGCTGCCAGGGAGGAAAGGCACTGAGCGTGGCCCCAGCCAGGGCCCTGTGTGGTTGGTGATGACAGGCTGTGGGGTTTATCTCTGCAAGGGATAATTTTGCAATTGAGAGCCCGCACGCAGCCACTGCACCTCCTGCCTGGTGGCAGTGACAGGGGTAATGAGGATAACGAGCACCTGTGTGCATGGTGGAGCTGACAGGGACAGCCTGGGGTGGCTGGGAAGGAGCTGGAGGAGAGCCCGGCAGCTCTCCCTCCAACCTCACCTTTCCAGCTGCCTCTGCTCCCAGGGATGGGACAGAGGGCAGAGCCACAGGGCAGCTGCTGCAGCGGCTGGGATGAGCTTTTTTGGAAGGGAACAGGAACAGGAGCAACCTCAGGGGGTGGAAAGCCAGGCTGGTTGTGCTCCCTGAGGAGACTGAGGGCACCCAGCACCACGGTTCATACCTGGAGAGCTCCTGGTGGCAAAGCTGCTCCAGCTGCACAGGGAAGCTTTGCTGCTGGATAACAGCTGGAAAAATGTCTCTCCAGATTGCAGATTTTGGGCTGTCCAACGTTTACCAGCAGGACAAACTTCTGCAGACCTACTGTGGGAGCCCCCTGTACGCCTCCCCCGAAATCATCAACGGGAGGCCCTACAAGGGCCCAGAGGTGGGTTGAGCCTCATCCCCTCATGTGGGGGGGGGAATTGGACCGGGGGAAGCACTGCGTGGTTTGGGATAATGGGTCCCCTGAAACTGGACACTGACTGGACACACAGTGGGGTGGATGAGCTGGGGGGGAGGTGGCTGGAGCTGGTGCTGCCCCATGCTCTGTCCTCCCCCGGGGCTGCTGCCACACCAGGAGCCCCCACCGAGGCTCTGACAGAGAATCCTGCCCAGGTGGGGTGTGGGCCAGGGCAGCCTGGTCCTGCTGCCCCCCCTCCAGGCTCCTCTGTCCCCCTGGCAGGTGGACAGCTGGTCCCTGGGCGTGCTCCTCTACATCCTGGTCCACGGCACGATGCCCTTTGACGGCCACGACTACAAGACTCTGGTCAAGCAGATCACGAGTGGGGACTACCGGGAGCCCACCAAGCTGTCAGGTAGGCAGAGCCCCAGCCTGCTGCGTGTCCCCCTCTCCCTGTACCCCCTTCGGTGCCTGACCTGCCTGTCCCCCAGACGCCTGCGGGCTGATCCGCTGGATGCTGATGGTGAACCCCGAGCGCCGCGCCACCATCGAGGACATCGCCACGCACTGGTGGGTCAACTGGGGCTACAAGGTGCCCGTCGGGGAGCAAGAGCTGCTGAGGGACGGCGAGTCCCCCCTGGCCACGGTGGCGGAGTGGCTGCGCCGCTCGTCCCGGCCCCTCCTGGAGAACGGCTCCAAGGTGCGCTGCTTCCTCAAGCAGCACATCCCCGGCGTGACCCTGGAGCGCCAGCGCTCCCTCAAGAAGTCCAAGAAGGAGAACGACGTCTCCCACGCGCTGCAGGAGGCGCCCGTGGCCCCGGAGAACCCCTCCAAGTCCATCCTCAAGCGGCCCAAGGGCATCCTGAAGAAGAGGAACTCCTGCGAGCAGAAGGTGCCCAGCCCCGGGCCCCCGCCGGCATCGCCCGCGGGAGAGGTGAAGGGGGAGGACGGGGAGGGGGTCACCGCGGGTCTCACCCGGATCCTGTCCTCTGGAATGCTGCCCTGCAGCACGGGCATCGCAGCAGTGCCCAAGAAGGGAATACTGAAAAAGCCGCCGACGAGGGAGTCGGGGTATTACTCGTCCCTGGAGTGCTGCGAGTCCGGGGATGTGCTGGACGCCGGGAGCTTGGACCTGGACGGGAACGTGTTTGCCGACAGCCCCTCCCCGGGGCAGGGCCCGCAGGGTCTCCCCGCCCGCCGCAAAGGCATCCTCAAGCACAACGGCAAGTTCTCCTCGAGCAGCTCCGAGCCCGAGAGCCCCCCCGGGCAGGGCTTCGGGGGCTTCAGCGAGGTGCCCCTGCCCCAGGCGCCCCGAGCCCGCCCGTCCAGCGCCGTCAGCGAGGACAGCATCCTGTCCACAGAGTCCTTCGACCAGCTGGACCTGCCCGCCCGGGCCCCCCCCGGCGCCGGGGGCATGAGGGGCTGCGTGTCCGCCGACAGCCTGCTCCGGCTGGGGGAGGAGGAGGAGCTGGAGGAAGGGCGGAGGCTGCGCCGCTGGACTGTGACCCACTGCCGGAGCCCCCTGGCAGAGAGCAGCCTGTCCCTGGCGGGCTGTGATGTCCCCGAGGGGTTCCGCTGCCCCATGGCCGTGGGAGGGAAGCTGAGCTGAGGGTCCCCCCCGGGGGGTGCTGCGTTCTGGGGGAGGGGGGCCCAGCCCTCCCTGCCCCGCGGCTGCTGGTGCTGCTGACCCACGTCCCCACGTATTTATTTGGCAGCCTCGTGCCCCTCGGTGCCCCAGGGCCGGGACATTCAAGGGACCAAAGCTCCGAGTGCCCCCCGTGGAGGGGCTGGGGGTGCCTGGGGGTGCCCCTCGCCGCCGTCCTCCCCTCGCAAACGGGCTCATCTCATCTCGAACCAGGGGGTTTGGGGGATTTGTTTTCTTCTTTGCACTGTTGTTTTTTTTTTTTGGCTGCACAAGGTCACGGGTGGGGCGGGTGATATACCTCAAACGAGCTGGAGATGTAGCAGGGTGCTGGCGAGGGGCTCCAAGGTGCTGCCCGTGGGCTGGGCTCTCGGGATGTGCTGGCAACAGGGGAGCCAAACCGCCCAGGCCACGGCTCTTCCCTCTCCTGTGCTGGGAAACACAACTGGATCTGGCCAAACCCCCAGGCTGAGGCAATGCTCTGATGCCAACGTCTATTATTGGAATGCTGAGGAAAAAAAAAAAAAAAGAAAAAGGTGCCTTTGGTGAGGCACCGTGACTTTATTTATTGCCTTTGTCCAACTGATGGAAAGTGTCAGCAGCACGGGCTGTGTCTGGCTCCAGCACGACCTCCCAGGGCTGTTTTTTGGGAGCTGTCTGTGTCCTTGTCTCACCAGGCTCCGTTGCACTATTGCCACGTGTTTGCTGGCCCTTCTCCCTTCTCCAGGGCGTGTGTGTGTTTTCCCTCCTTCCTGCAACTGTGGTCCGGAGAAAAACCATTAAATTAAAAGCAAGTGGTAAATGTGAGTTGTTCTCTTGGGTGCTGGGGGGGGGGGGGGGGGGGGGGGGGCTGCCTGGAGCTGCCTGTCCGAGCCTGGGGGCTCCTGTGCTGGTGTGACACCCCCATGCAGCATGTCCTGAGCCCCTCAAGTGCTCCAGCACATCCCAAACTGGGTTTGAGTGGTGATCCCACAGTGCTGGGTGGTGCTGAGCTGGGACAGCCCTGATTTGGGGGCTCTGGGAGGGGGTCAGGCTGGTTTTTAAGGCTGAGCAGCTGCTGCTGCTGAACAAGCAGAGCTCAACCTTTGGGGAAAGCTGTGTTGGAGGCAGATGGGTGTGGGGGGGAGGAGGAGCCCCTTTTCCACCCCACCCTGGTGACCGTGGGCAGCCCTGCTGTCCCAGCTCTGCTCCCAGACCTTCTCACCAGAGTGGGGTTTGGATTTGTGACACCCCCCCAGGTTTTGGTGGCAGGAGGTGCCTCCTGGGCTCCTACCATCACCTCTGACAGCACCTGCAGGAGCCTCAGCTGGAGGAAGGCCCAGCCAGGCCGAGCCCCAGCTGCCAGAGCTGCCCCCTCTGCATCCCTTTGCTTTATCCCCTTCTCCCGCTGCACCATTGAAACCTGGTTTATTGCTCCATAAAGCCCTGTGACCCTTTCCCGTTTCCAGGCGGGTTAATCGGAGCCATTTCAGGTCTCCGGGGGGCAGGGGCAGGGTGGCAGGGCTGCCTGCCCGGAATGCCGACCCTCGTCCCACCAGGCTGCAGCCGGAGAGGGGGGGTCACCACGCTCGGCCCCCTGCCGCGCATTCCCCGCGTGCTTCCCGAGCCATTAAGAAACGCTGGAGCGGTTAAAGCTGTTCCCAGGGCATCCAGCTCAGCCAGGACAAAGTCCCGGTGCCCTGTGGGGTGGGATGAGCCGGGGGTGCAGCACCCACAGGGCTCCAGGAGCATCCCAAGGCGGGCGTCGGGTCGGGCTGAGCTTTAACAGCCGCTGAGGGACGGATGGGGGTTTGGTTTTGGAGCATCCCCGGGCCTGTTCCGTTAATGATTTGCAGGAAAACACCCGTGTGTGGTGGTTTTGGAGCTGTGGCAGCTCCAGGTGGGCACCACATGGGTGTGGGGCACACGCTGCCCACCCCATCCCCTGTCCTGGTGTTTGTGCCGGTTTGGGAGCAGAGTCTGGTCAGTTCAGCTCATCCTGGGGTTGCTTTGGGGTCCCTGCCCACCTTATCCTGGGGAACAGCGCTGGGCAAGGGTGGGCAGTGCTGTAGGAGGGGTGAAGGAGGCAGCCTGAGCCTGGAGTCATCCTGGAATCGGTGGGAGGGGGTGCAGGGAGTGTTCCCCACCCTGTCGGTGCCCCCTTCCCTCGCTGCTCCCAACATTCCCCCACCAGCCCCTGGAAACGCTCCTTTCATCCCAGCCCCGATTTCCGCTGCCCCTGCCCACCCCTGTCTGGCAGCTGCCCCCCCCTCAGGCGGGGGCTGAGCCCCCCTTTCAGACCCCCACCATTATCCAGGGCTCTTTTATCCAGCCCTTTCATCCCGAGGGTTGGCAAACCCTCCGCTTCCCCCCCCGCCCCATCCCTGCCGCGGGTGTTTGTTTGAGGCGGGGGACAATGACCTCAGAGCAGCGTTTTGCTGGGAAAATGCCATTTTTTGGGGGTGACTTCAGCCGACCTGCCACGTCCTGCTGCCCAAGGGTGTGTGGGAGCGGGGCTGTGCTCCTGCCAGGGTGGCTCAGGGAGGAGGGAAACGGGGAGAAACAGCCAAAGGTAAACGGTCCGGGGGGATGAGGTGATGCTGGAGAGTTTGGAG